CCTGCTCCCCCAGCTGTCTAAAGGCATTGCCGGTCGGACCTCAGATGCGAGAGGCAGCGTTTGGGAGTAGGAGTCCAAGGCCACCACCCCGGGGCTTAGGGAGGCGGGGGAATGATGTCTGTCGGCTAGATCCGTGGCTTCCCCAGCAGGGGTGTCCTCATACATCCCTGCCTTCCGGGTCTCACCTCGGTGAAGAAGGCCATCCCGACCGTCCTCTCCTTGATTTCGAGATGGCGCAGATATGCGTTGGCCTGCTTGAACGTCATCTTGAGGTGCACTTTGGAGAACGCGAACAACGTCCTGTAAGGGGGAAACACCAAATCCCAAAGGGTCAGGGCTCCGAAGGATAAGCGGAAGGAAGTACTGAGGTCTGCTACACCTGCTCAAATTGGTCTCAAGAGGCGGCAAAGTGAGCCACATGGAAAGAGTTCTGTCTTTTTGGAAACACCCCAAAGGGTCAGGGCTCCGAAGGTCCACAGGGGTCATTTCCTGCAGGAGCGCACAGAAGCGGAGCTCCGGCAGTAAAGAGCCCAGGGGGTGGGTACTTGCAATAAGCCCCACCCCCTGCTCCTAGCAGCCCTCAGTCAGAGCAAGAAGCAGCCAGGTAAGTTGCAGAGCTCCCCCTGGTCCCCGGATCCAAAACAGTCCAGTGGCACCTTTAAGACCAAGTTTTATTCAGGTACAAGCTCTCCCTCCTCTGTGAGGACAGATCTGCACATTCTCCCCCCCCAATAGCTAGGAATCCAAAACAGTCCAGTGGAGCCTGAGCAGTGGGTGTTGCCTTCTGACACACTTCCGGTGATGTCAGGGGGTGTGGCATATGCAAATAAGTTATGCTAATGAGTTATGCTAATGAGCTCCTGCACCTCTCTTTCTACGAAATGGCCCCTGCCAAAGGATAAGCGGAAAGAAGTACTGCTACACCTGCTCAAATCAGTTTCAAGAGGCGGCCAAGTGAGCCACATGGAAAGAGTTCTGTCTTTTTGGAAATATCGTTGTACCAGACATAGGGATGTGGCCAACTACACAGTGGCATCATGGCTTTGGTGAAATGTTTGATCCTGTTTGACCATGATCAAATCATAGGCCTTGCTGACTGGTCAACTGGCAGACTGGTCAACTGGGTTTGCCAGATCTGGGTTGGGAAATATCTGGAGATTCTGAGGGTGCAGCTGGGGGAAAGTGGGGTTTGGGGAGGGGAGGGGCCTCATCAGGGTATAACATGAAAGAATCTACCCTCCAAAGCAGCCATTTTCTTGAGGGAAACTGACTTTAGTGGTCCAGAAATCAATAGTAATAGTGGGAGATCCCTAGGTGCCGCCTGGAGGTTGGCAGCCCTAGCAATACAGGACTGGTCTGTTCCATGCCATCTGGACATAGACGTCTCTGCTGCTTGCTAGGAATGCCTTGTGAGGGGGGTTGTCAGTTCTGTTACATATTGATGGCCCATTGTCCCTGACAAGGCAATTTTATTCGCACCCTTAGGACCTAAACTGGAAGGTACATATTATTTCCAGTATATACTAGAAAAAGAAGAGATTGGATTTATACCCCGCCCTTCTCTTCCCAAAGGTGTCTCAGAGCGGCTTACAATCTCCTTTCCCTTCCCCTCTTACAAATCATACTGAAAAGCATAATAGGGGTGTGCAAAAAATAATCATTCCCCCCCCCCGCTCCCTTATAGCCTATGGGGACCTTTATAGTCAATGGGCCCTATAGGCTATAATGGAGAATTGATTCGGGGGATCTGGGGAGGGGCTGCTTTTTGAGGTAAAGGCACCAAATTTGCAGCATAGCTGCCGGTGCCTCTCCTCAAACCCTCCCCCCCCCAGTTTCAAAAAGATTGGACCAGTGGTTCAATTTTATGGCCCCCAGAAGGAGGTGCCCCCATTTTCTATTGTTTCCAATGGAGGGAAAAATGCTTGTGAGCTGGAAGCTAAAATCCCTGAGCAGCCAGCTAAAATTTTGTGTGCCAGTGCCCCTAGCACAGCTTAGAGGGAACACTGCTGGTGAGGCAGCCAGTTCCTTCTGACTTGCTTGCTCATCCCTCTTGGCTTGCCCCTTCTTACCTGATGAGGTGAAAAACCCCTTCGAAGTATGTATCCGGTTGTTGCAGCTTCTCCCAGCTGCCTTGCATCCCCAAAATGTTGTACTCCTTGATGTAGCCCATGCAGGTGATGAGGTTCTTCAGAGCCTGCACGGCGGAGCTGATTTAAGCAAACGAGACGTTGTCACCAGAAGCCATTTTTGCCAACATGAGAACCTCTGGCATTTATCAGGTGGGAATAGGGACACTTATTTATTTTTATTTATTTATTTATAGGTTTAATTTATACCCCGCCCTCCCCGCAACGCGGGCTCAGGGCAGCTTACAGTTAGGCATAAGCCAGTATCAAATATAAAACATTTTTAAAACCATTTAAAACTCAACAAGACAATAACATTATTATTAACAAAGTGCTCTGTTCTTCCACAAGGTGGCATATTGCAACTGCCCCGCTAGCTCAGCGTCATCTGCTCAGGGAGACACTGGTGTTCTCTCGTGCAGGGCCAGGCTATGATGGTAGTGATGGTAGTGGCGGCTCTTACTCATACGCCTGGCGGAAGAGCTCCGTCTTACAGGCCCTGCAGAACTGTGCAAGGTCCCGCAGGGCCCGGATCTCCTCCGGGAGCTCGTTCCACCAGGTAGGAGCCGCCACCGAAAATGCCCTGGTCCTGGTGGCGGCCAGCCTGACTTCGTTGGGGCCTGGCATCGCCAGAAGGTGTCGGGTCCCCGACTGTAGTGC